CGAGACCATGGAGAGGAAAAGAAAGACAGACAAGGCTTTCTGTACTTTACAATGAGAGGACACACATGCAGTTAGAGCCCCATTGACAGTGGGGTGTATGCCCAGGAGAGCCGTGTGAGGAAGGTAGCACTTGGAGGAGTTTGCTCTGGGCACAAATTCAGGCCAGTTTAGAGGACAGGTGGAAAGAGAGAAAGAAGGAAAGGGAGTACATAATGCCTCCTACATCTGCAAAAGCTTTATTCCAAGGATAAACTTGGAGAAGGCAGGAGAGACTATGGCTGGAGATGCTGCTCTACATGTAGACTGGGAACTGGTGGAGACATGCCTGTTTCAGGTGTGTCCCAAGAACTTCCAAGTAGGGTGTTACACGACCGGACCTGCACTTTTTATGTAAGAGTACTTTGGCAGCTAAAGGATGGGCAGAAAGAGCTGGGTCCCAAGGCCAGTGTCACCCCCCCAGCTTGACTTCAGGGTGAAATCACAATAAAATTGGTTCATTTTCTACACTTACAACACCCGCAAAAAATCTCATCTCTTCTTAAGCTGAAGAGATTAGTTATGTATAATATGACAGACAGCTTCCTTTATATGGAAGCATATTAAAATGGGTTGAGAAGGCTGGGTTAAACCTACAAGCCTTGGTGTGTCACTGGGAACAGCTCTAGAGAGCTTGCAGGACCAGCTCCTGTTCATGACATGTACCTGGTTTAAAGAACAGTGTCTGGAGCAGCGGTTCTCAACCTGTGGGTCGAGACCCCTGAAAATACACCCTGCATATCAGATATTTACTTTACGATTCATAACAGGAGCAAAATTACAGGTATGAAGTAGCAACAAAAATAATTTTATGGTTGGGGGTCACCACAGCATGAGGAACTGTATTAAAGGGTCGAGGCATGAGGAAGGTGGAGAACCACTGGGACTCTGGAGGAAAGGGGTGGGGAAAGGGCGGGGTGGGGAGTAGCAGCCCCAGATTTAATACACAGCTCTCACAACTGTGAAACATCAGCAGAATATCCCATTTAAAGCTGTTCGTGTTACACTAACCTCTGGCATTCTTTTAACCGGGCTTTGGCACGTCACTCTTTTGCCACGTCACTCTTTCGCCACATAAATGTCCTTCTGTCAACAAAGGCCAGTTAATAGCTTCCAAAAGAAGCAAAGGCCTCATGGGAACAGGTTTCCCAGAAACCAAAGAAACAAGACAGAGAGAAGCATGTGTTGTTGACTTTTGTCACTTCATAGCCGTCTCTCCCAAGGTGTTGGTGTTTTCTTTCTTTCACGGTATTAAATCTTGTAACAATTTTATTCCATTATATCTTTGTTTCCAAAAATTTAATTATATCAAGTACTGATTGTATGATGTGTCTAGCTCTTTAGAAAAAAAGGAATATGAAACGGGCATGTCAAAACAATAGGGAGAGGAAGGATTAGTCAGTTAACAGTGCTGGGGCAATTGATTAACTATGTGGAAAAAATAAATTCTCACCTCAGTCCTTAAACCTAAATTCATTCCAGATGGATTAAAGTTAAATGCGGAGGAAAGATTTGGGGGACTTTCTTAGTATAAAAGCAGTGGAAACCATCATGAAGGAAGAGATTTGTCTATGTATTAACTTAAACCTTCTCTTCACCCCAAAAAAATTCAAAGAAAATTAAATAAGGATGAAGTATTATTTTTTTCCAAAACATTGCAAAGGATTTAGTGTCCTTTGCATATGTACCATTTCTTGCAAATCAATTTTTAAGAATACTAGTACTCATTAGAAAAAGTGGCCTAGGAATAGGAAACAGACAATTTACCTAAAAATATAGTCAAGAAATATATGACAAGATGTTCAGCCTCAGTCATTTCTCAAAACAGAGGAATAAAAAAAAATCAAGATAGATACAGTTTAAAGCTAGCTTGAGTCCAATTCTTAGTGCTGGTGAGGTATAAGGGGACACTGTAGCACAAGGCTGGGCAAGTGTAAACAGCTTCCATCCTTCATCTATTTATTATGTGAATGCATTTACTATGTTTACATTTTTATATTTATTAAGTGCCTTAACATATTTATAACTTTTGTCTCTGAATTCTACATCTAGGAACCAGATATAAAAATTATTGACCTGATCTGATTATATAACTTAATGGTAGAAGAGTGATTAAATATAGTATAGGGAATTTATTGAGTGGTGTTAAAAGATATGTTTTGTAAGAGTATTTAAAGATATGGGAAAATGCCAGCAAATAATGTTGACTTGAAGAAAAAAGAACATACTGGCAAAAAAAAAAAAAAAAGGAAAAGAACAAATGAACACTGTAGTTACAATAATCCTAATTTTATTAGATAAGGAAATACAAGTGCATATGTATGTAATACCCCAAAATGTTAAATTATTTTCAGATGGTGAAGACTTTTGTTTCCTTTTATCCCTTCTTCCATTTTCTAAATTTTCTGCTGTCATTGTGCATTAGCTTCATAATCAGGGAAAAAATAGATTGTGTTTTTGAAAAGCAGGCTCTTATTAAATTTGAATTAGGGTGATTGAGTTAATTTATTTTAAATATTTTGAGAAGTATGTATTTAATTTTATTGCTCCACTCCAATAGGACAGTGTCTCACTTTGCTATTTCTGAGCCTCTGATTTGCTTCTCTTGCAGTTGACAGCCTGCATCCACGGGTCTGCCGCCATGCTCTACCCCATGTTCTGGCAGCACGTGTACATCCCCGTCCTGCCACCACACCTGCTGGACTACTGCTGGTAAGCCGCTGCTTTCCCCACCTCTGCTTTCCTTCTCCAGGAACTGGCATGGAAGTTAGATCTGTAACTGTAATGCAGTTGATGACTCTAAATGAAAAATATTAGCTTAAAAAATGATATGCGTTTTAGACCACATGATTGCATAGCCCTTCTGTTTCCAAACAGCTTTCATATATGTCATGGTGTTCTTAATAGTTCAAGTGAGTAGATAATACTTTTCCCATTTCTCAATTTGGGGAAACCAAAGCACCAAGTAGTTCTATGATTTTTTTTCCCTAAGACAAATTGGAAACTGGTGACAAGAACAGTTGAGATCCCCAAAGTCTTCAAGTTTCAGCCATGTCCTGGCACGTTCTGTAAGACTTGCTCTCAACTTGGTCTGGAAGCACAAGCCAGACTTCAAACCCTCTGAAGTTTTTTTGATGGGAATTTAAGTGTTCACTGAACTGTGTTTCAGTGGGAGGCGGGCAGGCTTTAAAGTCAGCTCTACCACCTTGGGCAAGTCACTTGGCTTAAGACTTTGTTTCCTCATCTGCAAAATGAAGTTGTTCTATACTTAATTATATAAAGATGAAATGATATAACAGATGAAGGGACTCCATGAAGAAAAGCTGGTTCATGGTGGGTGCTCAAGGGTGTTTCTGAAGGAGCCTTGTCATCACCACTATCTTGTCTCCAATTGATCGCCAAGAAGACTGATTCAGATCCATTTTCCTTCTGAACAATTTCTCCAGGGTAATGTGGTTAAAGACATTGTCTCTTGACAGTTCAAGTCAGCAGAAGTTGATAAGGGAGCACTGTGCATATGTAGGAAAAGGCACTGCCTGCCAGAGATTGACAGCTTCAGGAGAAAGGGACCTGAAGTGATTGAGTATAGTCAGTCATAATTTTTGCTGGTTCTCTAGCCGGTTTTACCAACCTGCCACTGAAAAGGTTCACCAAGGTAGCCAGATCATCCTTAAAGGCATTCCACAGTACTTCTAATTTGAATGTTGAGCTCACCTCATCCCAAGAAGCCACAGATACAACAAAGATGTTGCTCAGGGCCACCAAGTGAAACTCAGCCACCCTCTCTGGTGCCTAGCACTAAGTGAATCGGCTCATCTCTCTGCTCTACATCTTTCTTATCAAGGCGGCTCCTTTTATCCATGCCTTTCCCCTACTTCCTCTGAGATTAAGCGTCTTCTGTTTAGACTTGCTGCTCCTTTTGAGCTTCTGAACCAGGTATCAGTTATTTCCACTGCCATGTCTCTCAAAGGAAAGGCGCGTGTTTGCTCTCCAGCACTGTTGTTGTTGTTGTTTGAATGCAAGATTGAGGGGCTAGCAGAGGCAGACACAGAGGAATAAGCAGGCCAGGGGAGTGGAGGAGAAGAAAGAACAAAATACACACCCAAGGAAGGCAGAGGGGAGATAGTGAGAAAAATAGATAGAAAAGGTAGAAAGGGGCCATATGTCTTCTCAGACAGACTCACACAGTGTCACTCAGTCCTCTTGCCACCCCCGCCCCTCGCATACAACACCCTGACAGGCACATACCCTCACACAGGCACACAGCCCCCATACTGACACCCAGACACAGGTCCCTTCTCCACAGGCACATGTCTCAGGGGCCCTCACACAGAGGGAGATTCATAACTCCCACACACCTCACTCAGACATGTGCTGTAAGGGGAAACCTTAGGGTTCTCCCTGGAAGAGACTCACCCGTGTGTCTTGATGTTCTGCTTTAGATATGAACGCCCAGAGGTTCCTGTGTTCAGGGGTTGGTAATAGTACAACTTTAGCTTTCTGTCATTTGGAAAGTTTTGGTTGTTAATTTGTTAGCTAGTTTAAACCCAGCAGCTTACATTCCTAGAACTGTGGAGAGGAAAATGCTCTGTCAATAACATCAGTGATCACAGTAGCTGCCAGTGGTGAGTGTATCCTATGCCCCAGTCTCTGGACCATCTCCTTTACATCAGTGATAGAAACCCGTAAGTTATTGGGTCCATTTCACAGGCTGGTAAACCAAGGCCACAAGAGGTTTAGTAACTTGCCCCAATATAGGTATTATGTACTATACTAGGGGCCCGGTGCACGAAATCCGTGCACTGGGTGGGGGTGAGGGGGAGTGTCCCTCAGCACAGCCTGCCCCCTCTCACATACTGGGAGCCCTCAGGTGTTGACCCCATCAATCTCCAATCGCAGGATCGGCCCCTTGCCCAGGCCTGACGCCTCTGCCAGAGGCATCAGGCCTGGGCAGGGGACCCTCATTTCCCCCCATCACTGGTTCTGCCCCCAGCCCAGGCCTGATGCCTCTGGCCCAGGAATCATGCCTGGGCAGGGGATCCGCATCTCCCTCTGATCGTTTGCTCCACCTGCCGCCCATACCTGACGCCTCTGACCCAGGCTT